CCCTACCTACTTCCCTCTACACACTGCCCTCCCCTACCTACTTCCCTCTACACACTGCCCTTCCCTACCTACTTCCCTCTACACACTGCCCTTCCCTACCTACTTCCCTCTACACACTGCCCTTCCCTACCTACTTCCCTCTACACACTGCCCTTCCCTACCTACTTCCCTCTACACACTGCCCTTCCCTACCTACTTCCCTCTACACACTGCCCTTCCCTACCTACTTCCCTCTACACACTGCCCTTCCCTACCTACTTCCCTCTACACACTGCCCTTCCCTACCTACTTCCCTCTACACACTGCCCTTCCCTACCTACTTCCCTCTACACACTGCCCTCCCCTACCTACTTCCCTCTACACACTGCCCTCCCCTACCTACTTCCCTACTTACTGCACAAAACCTCATTCCGTCCTATCACAGCCCGTCATTGTCATACGAATGGGTTGGACTGGTCAGATTACTGATACAAATCCTACAATCAGCACAATGTCGGCCAACAGTCCTAATACTACATCTGCCGCCACAATACCACCGGCCACTACTCCCCCGCTACCACTAGGACTGCTGTAACTATATATTAAATAAATAGAACCCAATCTATTAGTATTAATACTTCTGTTACTATTGTTGGTAATAATCGCCGATCGGTTCCTCTGACGTACCGGTACTTGTAATCGGTGAACTTCATCTGCTGGGCTTTCAGCTTCAGACGCAGAAGATGTAATATCCGGATGTGCACGATGAAGTTTACCTGCGGAGAGACGGCCGCGGTGACTTCCTGCTACATATACATCTGAACATTCCGCGCACATTGCCGTACCATGTAAGATGAAGGTGAATGATGTAGGTGAAGGTGAATGATGTAGGTGAAGGTGAATGATGTAGGTGAAGGTGAATGATGTAGATGAAGGTGAATGATGTAGATGAAGGTGAATGATGTAGATGAATGATGTAGATGTAGGTGAATGATGAAGGTAAATGATGTAGATGAAGGTGAATGATGTAGATGAATGATGTAGATGAAGGTGAATGATGTAGGTGAAGGTGAATGATGTAGATGAAGATGAATGATGTAGATGAAGATGAAGCTGAATGATGTAGATGAAGCTGAATGATGTAGATGAAGGTGAATGATGTAGATGAAGGTGAATGATGTAGATGAAGGTGAATGATGTAGGTGAAGGTGAATGATGTAGGTGAAGGTGAATGATGTAGGTGAAGGTGAATGATGTAGATGAAGATGAATGATGTAGATGTAGATGAAGGTGAATGATGTAGATGAAGGTGAATGATGTAGATGAAGCTGAATGATGTAGATGAAGGTGAATGATGTAGGTGAAGGTGAATGATGTAGGTGAAGGTGAATGATGTAGGTGAATGATGTAGGTGAATGATGTAGATGAATGATGTAGATGAAGGTGAATGATGTAGGTGAAGGTGAATGATGTAGGTGAAAGTGAATGATGTAGATGAAGATGAATGATGTAGGTGAAGGTGAATGATGTAGGTGAAGGTGAATGATGTAGATGAAGGTGAATGATGTAGATGAAGGTGAATGATGTAGGTGAAGGTGAATGAGGAAGATGAAGATGAATGATGTAGATGAAGGTGAATGATGTAGGTGAATGATGTAGATGAAGGTGAATGATGTAGGTGAATGATGTAGATGAAGGTGAATGATGTAGGTGAAGGTGAATGATGTAGGTGAAGGTGAATGAGGTAGGTGAAGGTGAATGAGGTAGATGAATGATGTAGATGAAGGTGAATGATGTAGGTGAATGATGTAGATGAAGGTGAATGATGTAGATGAAGCTGAATGATGTAGATGAAGGTGAATGATGTAGATGAAGGTGAATGATGTAGGTGAAGGTGAATTATGTAGATGAAGGTGATTCATGTAAAAGAAGGTGAATGATGTAGGTGAATGATGTAGATGAAGGTGAATGATGTAGATGAAGGTGAATGATGTAGATGAAGGTGAATGATGTAGATGAAGGTGAATGATGTAGATGAAGGTGAATGATGTAGGTGAATGATGTAGGTGAATGATGTAGATGAAGATGAATATGAAGGTGAATGATGTAGATGAAGGTCAATGATGTAGATGTAGGTGAATGATGTAGATGAAGGTGAATGATGTAAGATGAAGGTGAATGATGTAGGTGAAGGTGAATGATGTAGATGAAGGTGAATGATGTAGGTGAATTATGTAGATGAAGGTGGATGATGTAGATGAAGGTGAATGATGTAGATGAAGGTGAATGATGTAGATGAAGGTGAATGATGTAGATGTAGGTGAATGATGTAGATGAAGGTGAATGATGTAAGATGAAGGTGAATGATGTAAGATGAAGGTGAATGATGTAAGATGAAGGTGAATGATGTAAGATGAAGGTGAATGATGTAAGATGAAGGTGAATGATGTAAGATGAAGGTGAATGATGTAAGATGAAGGTGAATGATGTAGATGAAGGTGAATGATGTAGATGAAGGTGAATGATGTAGATGAAGGTGAATGATGTAAGATGAAGGTGAATGATGTAGATGAAGGTGAATGATGTAGATGAAGGTGAATGATGTAGATGAAGGTGAATGATGTAGGTTGAAGGTGAATGATGTAGATGAAGGTGAATGATGTAGATGAAGGTGAATGATGTAGATGAAGGTGAATGATGTAGGTGAAGGTGAATGATGTAGATGAAGGTGAATGATGTAGATGAAGGTGAATGATGCGGGTTATGTGGAGACCTCCATGTCTGAGCCTGGTCCGGTCTGTCTGTGTATGGCGGCTGGATTGGTCAGTTGTGTGTAACCAGCTTGTCGGCATATGATAGTGTGCATTGGCATGACGCCGGGTGTATATACATGGGCCAAGGGGGGTATTTAAACTCTGACCCCCAGAGGGTGGCTGCTCCCAATCATGTCACAATAGTGTCTGCAATGTCTGGTACACCGGGCGCCTCCTCGCAGAGCGTATGATCAGCGCGTGCCGTTCTCGATGTCTATCTGTGAATAAACCAATCATTTATGTGATGATGTCACTCCATCATGCGTTCCCCATATCTCCCTTCGTTACGTCCTGCGTATGTTCCGTGTTTGTCCCCTTTGTGTACAATGTCCTGCGTGTCTCCTGTGCACACAACATGCGTGATCTGTGAAGATGAATACTTACAAACACACAGAGAAGCATCGGCCCCTTTATAATATACCAGATCCCTGTACTGCTATTGGTCTTCCAGCACCTGGAACAACACGCAAGTTTTATATGTATTATGTACATGAAATCCAGAACCGACTTTACATGCAACACACAACCCAATGTACTAAGAGCTTCATATCACCGTATCATCAGAGAGAATTCATTTCAGGGGTCAGTTACAGAATACCAGACAGACAACAGATGACAGGGAAAGATTCACTCCAGAACTTTGTGTCTCTGCCCCTCCCACAATGGTGAGATTTCCTCCAGTAGTTTGTCTCTGCCCCTCCCACAATGGTGAGATTTCCTCCAGTAGTTTGTGTCTCTGCCCCTCCCACAATGGTGAGATTTCCTCCAGTAGTTTGTGTCTCTGCCCCTCCCACAATGGTGAGATTTCCTCCAGTAGTTTGTGTCTCTGCCCCTCCCACAATGGTGAGATTTCCTCTAGTAGTTTGTGTCTCTTTGGATTCTTTCTGCACATTTTGGTATTTTGGAGCTGTAATTGTATCTTCTGAAGATCTCGCGGCTGTTTCCATCTCTGCATCTGCAGCCCGGAATTATCCGGGTGATTTATTGGCTGCCGCTCGGCGATCAATACATTCAGTGTGTGTGTGGTGCGGAGAGATTGGACCATGAATCATCCTGCCGATGCTGTGATTGGATGATTATGGATGGCGGGGAGGACGGGAGGGATACGGAAAACCTTAATTCATTCATAAATGCGTTTTATTTCCTCTCGGAGAATAAAAGGAAAGGTTCGCTTCTGCGCCCCCGCTGGGATTTTAAATTTAAAGGGGGACTCCGAACATGAAGACTGGTTATTAGTAGGAGATTTGTAGAATCAACCAAATGCGGAGCCAACCCAATACTGAACCCTACGGACTAAGACTGGGGGGCCATTAGAGGGCGGAGCCAACCCAATACTGAATCCTACGGACTAAGACTGGGGGGCCATTAGAGGGCGGAGCCAACCCAATACTGAACCCTACGGACTAAGACTGGGGGGCCATTAGAGGGCGGAGCCAACCCAATACTGAATCCTACGGACTAAGACTGGGGGGCCATTACAGCTCATGTGCGTGTAAAGGAGTCCCAATACTTCTGGCAATATAGTGTATAAATATATATTACATAAAATACAGGTTTTCTTTTATTCATTTTTTTGCATTTTTGTTTAATGTGACATTGAATAACATCAATAAGGAAAAGCAATAAAATATAAAGAAAAAAAAAAGAATATTAATGGTTAAAATAAATAATAATAATAGTAATGTGGAGGAGGGTAAACACGGGTTATTAAGCTGAATACAGGGAAATATCGGTCACTTAGGGGTAACATAGGAACACATTTAATTTAAAATAGAACAAAAACTTGTCAGGTTACATCAACAGATATTGTATTCAGATGGAAGATCTTCTGTTTGATCTGCAGATTGATGCAAAAGGTGAAAATGTTACTTTGTATCTCTCTATCAGGAACAATGTTTCTAAACACCGCAACTCCCGGACCCAGAAAATACAGCCAGGGAAGCCACAGAGGGGCGCACTACATATTTCCTGCAATGATTTTTTGTTGGATGTGTAGTGATAATAAAGATCTATATAGAGGGATCAGGACCTCCTTCCTCCTGCTGGGGATCCCTCTAGTGATAGATCTATATAGAGGGATCAGGACCTCCTTCCCCCTTCTGGGGACCCCTCTAGTGATAGATCTATATAGAGGGATCAGGACCTCCTTCCCCCTGCTGGGGACCCCTCTAGTGATAGATCTATATAGAGGGATCAGGACCTCCTTCCTAACTCAAGTTCTGCATGCTGAGCCCTCTTATCAGCCATGTTAGGCTGGCCTGATTGCTGATAGGAAGTAGGTGTGTGCATGAAAAGATCTTCCCCTCAGGATCAGGATTTTGCCTCACTTTGTCTTCTCACAACCTCCCGGATCTTCTACTCTCCTCTATGACTAGGAAATGTATTGCTGCTGCGACTCTCTATAGACAGAAAGGAGAAGATATAAAATATGATAATGATTACTCACGTGTCATTTTCTAGATACAATCTTGCAATCGCCCACGGTACGATGAACAGGAGGGGGCACGCTGCCAAACAAAACATGGAGGTCAAAGGTGACATGAGAGTATTGATCCCCCTGCAACTCCCCCCCCCCCCCAAA